GCTCCAGCCCTGAAGCTGTGCCTGTCAGCATTGCCTCGACCTTCAGAGTGTCTGTACGGCACTAAGCAGAGGAGGTGAGAACATGGTTGATATCTGTTACTGACAGGCTCTGGCTCCTCAGGACGAGACGAGCCTTGTCTTCATAGGCTTAGGTTTCTACTGGTGCTCAGTGTGGTCTATCTTTGAGTATCTTGTGGGGCAGCTCAAGATTCCCAGGAATCCCAATTCCTTCAGGCATGTTCAACTATTTGACTTGCAATACAATGCTGTTATTGACAAAGTTCACACTGACAACAGGACAACTGAGTTACAAACAAAACAAAACAAAAAACCACCACCAACAACAACAACAAAAGAACAGCATGAAAAAGTCTCATGTCTTAAGTAAATTTACATTTTTTTTTTTTTCTCGAGACAAGGTTTCTCTGTGTAGCTTTGGTGCCTGTCCTGGATCTCACTCTGTAGCCCAGGCTGGCCTCGAACTCACAGAGATCCACCTGGCTCTGCCTCTGGAGTGGTGGGGTTAAAGACGTGCGCCACCACTGCCTGGCGTAAATTCACAGTTTTCTGTTTGGCTGCTTTTGTAGTTACTGGCCACAGGCTGGCCACGCCTTCCAGAAGACAGCACTCCACACACGCCCTCTGCTGGAAGACCACTGACTCCTAGACCGCTCCTGCCGCTCCGACCTCTAGGTGCCAGGAAGCAGGTCCAAGCCAGAGTGGCATCAGGCATGTGAGGGCAGGCACCGTATCTGGCAGAATCTTTCATTGCTCTGAGCACACACTCCCATTGAATTTTTTTTTGTACATTTGGTTAGCATTTTTATACATTCTTTGAGAATTTCACACACTACGCCCCAATCACACACAAAATCTCACCATGGCCGCTCTGCCAATTCCTCCCCACCCACCCAACGCCGAGCCTTCTTTCTTCCCTTTTCCTTTCCCAGAGGAGTCCAGGGCCCAGTCCTTAGTGGAGCTGGGGAACCCCAAGTGTGGTTGCTCCACTAGGGATCACCAAAGAAAATTGACTCTCCCCCTCCCAGCAGCCAGATGCCAACAGCTCCCCAGCCAGTGGTCAAACCCACTTCCACCCTCCCCACTCCATGTGGGGACCCTGCCCAGCCAGAGCCAGTGCGGACCCTGTTAGTGATGCCACAAGAGCCACCAGCTCATAGGTGCAACTGCCCAGCCCTGTCCAGAAAATCTGTGCCATGCCATCTACCACCTTCAGACCCCACAATCCCCTTACCCATCCCTGGGCGAAGATCCCCTGAGCTCCAGGGGCAGGGGAGAGCGGAGGGTTGGGCCAAACACAATCCACCCAGGGCAGAGCACTCTACAGTCTCTCACCCTCAGCACCCTGAGCAGCCTGCCCAGTGTCCACTACAAAGAGGAACCCCTTTAATGAGGCCGAGAGACACACCCATCTCCCGGCAAGGCAACAAGTCACTAGGAATTGCCTTGGCACTGTGTCTATCCAGGACAACAACAGCCCTGGACATTTAATTCTTTTCAAATGTTTTTATGAATCCTTTGGGAATTTCATACAATGTATTTTGAATATATGCACCCTCCTTTCCCACCTCCTCCCATAACCACCATCTCCACTTTCCATCCCTTCCCACACAGCTCTGAGATTCTTTTTTTTTTTCCTTTTGTATTTTCCTGTGGAGTCTGGTTTGTGCTGCCCCAGCTAGTCCTGGGGAGGGGGGGACCCGCCCTATGGCCATTTAATTCTCTACTCCAGAGGTAACTGGCATGGCCGAGAGGGGACCCCTTAAGACCTGGAATGTGTATGTGCTCGCTTTCTTGGCTACCTTGTGGTCTTGGATGCTGGATGCTGGTGCTTTGGATCAAGGCAGAGTTCTCCAGAGAATCACGTTGGACCGCACCTCACCCCTCCGGGATCCTGCAACCAACTCCCTTACGCTTTTGTGAATTAACCCAAAATAAATCCCTTTGATTATCAGATAAACTCTGTGGAATTGCCTCTCTACTGACTTATCTCAGAGTTTCTTACCCATTGCTACTATGAGGGCAAAGAAAGAAAAAAATCAGCAGAGAGGAGAATGCCCAGACCTCTCTAGAATGTCCAAAAGCCAGATCCAGTTACGTGAGCTCCGGTGGTATTAGGGAAGATCTTGGCCGATCTCTTTCACGCCGCAGGCTTGGTTTGCTTATCTGAGAAGTGGGCATGGCAACTCTGCCACATGTTCCTGGGTGTACAGAGGCAGTGACAACAGGGTGCGACAGCGCCAGGCCAGACACACTACAAGGCCACCAGGGGGCACGAGAAGCTTCTGTGGATGTGGCAGAGATTCATCCTCTGGCTCCTAGGACTGTATCACCTAGGTCTCGCTGGGCCTCGTCCTTTTTTTTTTTTTTTTTTAATTTCTATGAAGCTTTATTATCAATCTAATACAGAGACAAAGCCCAACACCCCTACCCCAACAAGCAAGCTGAATAACATTTAATAAAAAGAACCACTTTCTTAATACGGGGAGAAAAAAAAAGCAAAACAAACAAACAAAAAGTGTTAAAAAAAAAAACCCAAAGCCTCCAAATCACAACACTTAGAAGCATGGCAACTGGGAGGTAAAAGCCACAAGTCCCAGGCCAGAGACAAAACATCCACAATAAAAAGTAAGAACCCCCAAAAATGGCTGAAGTAGAGGCCGAGGTATTAATGAGGCTGTGATCCCCGGCCAAACCATAACACACTCTCAGAGATACCCAGAAGAGGTTTGGAGCTCCTCTAAGTCTTTCAAAGTTTCAGGGAGCCCGGGGCTCTCCTGCTCCTCCAAGGCTTTCCGAGGTTCAAGGAACCTGGATCTCGCAGACAAAATTTTGTGGTGGTAGGCCAGGAGGCTGATGCGAGGACTAAAGTACGGCATTTGCCTGGGCGGACTTTCCAGGCTGGGCGCAGGCGCACCCCACTCCTCAGATAACGGCAGTGGCGGCAGCCGGGGAAATAAAGGCTCCACTGGCACCCTTGGCTCTCTGGTTCGGGCTCGCTGTCACGTGACTTGTACACGCGGTGACTCAGCTCCTCTCTGAATTTCTTGGACAACTCCTTGGGGTCCTCCACCATGAGTTCTTCCTCAATGTCTCCTAGCTCGGGGTTGACAGCCAAGGCCTTGCATGGCTCCTTGCTTTGGTCTGGCTCCTCCTTGAAGTGTCTTTCCAGCTCTTGACAAGGCTCCTGGGTAAGCTCGGAGTGTTGATTCCCGCCGGCTGCCAACCCCTCAGCATCCAAACCTTCTTCTGAGGGTCCAGACGTGCACAACTTCGGAGACTCCGCCATTTTCGACCGCGGCCACTTTAGCTCCAGCTGATCAGTTTGGGCCTCGTCCTTTTTACAATGGGTACCAGCTAGGTACCAGCTAGGTTGTTCTGCATTCATGGCCTCTCTTGTCTCCAAGTCTCTTTGAGAGGATTCTAACGTCTCCCTAGAGGTCCCTGGCCGGTTACAATCTCAGGTGACTTTCCTTCCACTACTCGTCCCTTCCCGGTGCCAGACTGGGAGATGGCCCAATGGCCACTTACAATCCACGGGCGACAAAACTCAAGTCCACTGCTTAAGTTCACCCTGGGACTGGAGGTGACCAGAGACTTGGTGCCCGGGCAGTTTTCTCAGGGTGCTTGTTCCCAGTTCCTGTGGCCCTCTACAAACCGTGAAGTGCAGATGGACAGAGCTGAGGGACAGCGATGGCGGGAGACAGAGATCGCAGAACCCTCTCCGGGAAGGGACCCCATGGCCAGGCACGCTAGGAGAGGTGCCTGTGTGAGCGCAATGGGGCACAGGGGACACGCACAGCCCATACAGGAATGTCCCTGAGTTCCGGGTTCAGGGAGCTCTCACTGGGAGCCCTGATGTCGCACAGATCACTCACAAGAACTCCACCTGCCGTGCTCTGGTTACCTGTGGTGACTCTGGGTCTCTGCAGTGGCAACAATGGAAGCAAAGCTGACTTTCCCATCAGCCATATCAGAGCTGGAAGTCCTCCCTAGACTGTCCTCCCTAGGACAAAAACGGCTTTCCAGGTGGGGGACCAGGACAGATGAAGTAGACGCTAGTCAGTCAGACCTGCAGGGCCACCGGCTCACCCCGCCCTCGACCTCCCCCCCCCCATGAAAAGCAGGGCTGATCCCACTGTGAAATATGGAAGGGGTGTGGGAGGTAAGGCCCGGAGCCAGCTCTGGTTCTGGGAAAGGCTACTATTACCCCCTGATTTATAGAGGAGGAAAGTGAGAAAGGGCCAGCAAGGTCGTGCACCACACAGCTGGAGACGCAGATCCAAGGACATCATGGGCTTTGATCCCGGAGCCTGCCCGTGTTCCCACCTACGCTGAGCTTGACAAGGCTCATGTTAGTGAGACGGGCAGCCTCTGGGCTCCAGTCCCGGCTGCTCTGTCACTATTCGGGACTTTGGGCAGGTTACTTGTCTCTTAGGCCCGAGTCCTCATTTGTGAAGTGGCCCCTGTCCCCTTAAATGAACCGAACAGAGACATATCTAGGATGGTGACCGTTTTAGTGGGTACAGCTATTCCTGTTGAGCCTAGATGACCAGGTGTCCTTGAGAAAGGGTGTCTTTAGGTGTCTAAACTGTCAGGCTGTGGGTTCTGGACGCCGCCACGGCCCCACCCCTGCTTCCCAGAGCTGGGAGGTGCAAAGCCTGTCTGGGCTCAGCTCCACCGTAGGCAAATGAGATGACGTCAAAACCATGGCTGGCCCAGCCCCTGTGACCTCCCCCAGCCCTCCCCTGCCTCTGTCCCCTGCTCAGATTCACAAGCTCCCAACAGCTGGGCCCAGAGGGAAGGAGAGTGGCCAGAGGGAAGGTAGATGGCTGGGCACTTGGGCCCACTGGAGCGTGTCACCTCCTGCCCTGCAGAACTGCGGGGGGCCCAGGGCTGGGAGCTGGACCTGTGGGGACCCTTCCTTGCTTTGTGCTTCGCACTTTCTCCGTCAAGCAGTGTATCATCCCTGGCTGAGAGCCTGCTCAACGTTTGCCTAGGATTGTGGGCAGCCCTCTACCAGGGAGCTGGTCAGCTCTCAGGGCTGGTTAGCCACCATGACTGACGAGAAGACCTTCCGAATCGGCTTCATTGTGCTGGGCCTTTTCCTCCTATCCCTCGGCACGTTCCTTATGAGCCACGATCGACCCCAGGTCTATGGCACCTTCTACGCTATGGGCAGCATCATGGTGATCGGGGGCGTCATCTGGAGCATGTGCCAATGCTATCCTAAGGTAGGGGGTGGCAGGAGGTGGGGAGGGGGGCAGGAGGATGCATGGCTCTCATTGCCTCAGGTACCAACCCCTTGACTCCAACGGCTGTGTTCTTCCCATTTGGACTCCCCGTATTCTCTCTGTTCTGGGGGTGGGTGGGTATCCTTTTCGTTTATCCATCCATCTCTCATTGTGGCTGGTCAGAAGGCCCTCACATCTTGAGCCGGCCAGAACGGGGACACAATGGGATCTATGCACTGTCTCTGCTCGAGCAGAAGTTGGCCAGCATTTACTATCTTCCAAACTTGAACCCACAGCTCACCCCGACCCTATCCCAAGTGCTCTGTGTTTTCCGCACTTCCCTTTCTTCTCACAGATCCTGAAGCACAGATCTGCTTTAGAGTAGCGTTGTACCCTGGGTGTCCCACAACGGGTGCTCCCTCCAGGATGCTCCATTCTATGCCCCCAGCTGCTGAGAGCGCTGTCGTGCTGGGTCTTTCCGAGTCACAGTATTTTCATCTGTAAATTGGCTCCCCAGTCTTGGCTCTGCACAGCCCTGTGCTAACCCAAGGATGACGTGTGGAGGATGGGAAGGAGCACATTTGCAACTGTGCGGTTGTGTTTAGGTAAACCGCTGCCGCCGCTGCTGTTACTCTCCTTGATTCCCACACAGCCCTGAGGGGTGAACCTGTCAGCGTTGTAAACCTTCAACGTCCGGAGAGGTGGGGTGAATTTTCCAGGGTCACACAGCTAGCTAGAGATAGGGACATAGGGAGAACAACAAGGGTCTAGCCTGTGTTCTGTCTCTAAGTGCTTGGAAGACTGAGCCACTTGGTTCTCTAAGCCTCAGTTTCCTGAACTGTACAGTGTGAGTAGGAAAGGGGGACGGACACCTGAGACCCCCACTGAGCCTGGATACTAACAGCCCTGTCCTCCCAGCTTCCTCCCCTCTTTGGTGGGGAGTACCCAGAAGGAGTTCTAAGAGTTGGGGCCAGGTCCCAGCCTCTCCCAGCCCTACCCCCTCTGTGGCCAGCCCAGACCTGTCACTTATATCTGGAGCTTGGGCAGTCTTAACTGGTTTGCAGCCATTTACAAAGCCGTTTACAGTCAACTCTCCTCTACGCGCTCAATGTCCTGAGCAGAGGTCACTGGGAGAAGAGGGCCTTGAGGTCAGAGCCACCATGTCACCACCCAGGGAGGGTGGGGATGTTGGGAAGAAAGCATCCTTTCCAGGGGCAGCTGGTGGGGGGACTGAGAAACAGCAGGATGGCTGGTGGGGGGAACAGGGCTGAGGATTAATGGGTAACTGTTAAAGGTTCACGTGCTCCTGTGTGGGGAGGTGGTATGGCTGGTGGAAACCCACACCCCCTCGTGTCCCTCAAACCCCAGTTCAAGTCCCTGTGCCAAGTCTGTGACCTTGGCAGAGCCTCCCCCCACCACTGTGCCTTGCCTGGGCAAATGGAAGGGAGCAAATGGTGCTATGGGGATGGGAGGGGTCCTGGTGACCTTGCCTGTGTGAAGCGGGCGCGGAGATGTTCTTGAGAGGATGTTACCAGCACTGGGAGGTCTGCAGGGGGAAGCGGGGAGGACACCGGCTGTTAGAGCGGTCACAATTGGAACAGGAGGAAGAAAGGGCCCCCACTCTTCACCATGGCTGTTTGTTGGGTTTTGCATGTGAACCCGGTTAGATTTGGTTCTCACCTGGGCCTCGGGCACAGCTTAAGTGGGAGAACTGAGCCAGGCAATCTAGTGTGGGGGCTTAGAGGCTGAGATGGAACGGGGAGTGAGGAAGAAGGGGTGGAGCGGCAGGGAGAGCGGAGTCTTGGCTCTGCATCCTCTGCTCCTTTCTTCTGTCTGCTCTGCTGCAGCTCAGAACCAGGACCTGGTAGTTGAAGGACCTGTCCCCTTTGTGGGCTTCCCTCTCTAGGCTTCCTCCCTCTAGGGACTGGTCAGTGTTCAGCCTGAACTCAGATCTGATAGGTACTCTCCTGCTAAAAATTCTTCTGGAGTGCCCGTGGCCATGGAGAAAGGTTAAAATCCTTAGTCTGGTGTTCTGAGGGTTTCCAAGTCTGGTCCTGCCCCTGATCATCAATTCTGCATTTCCTTCCTCTTTCTTTAGAGAAGAAATCTGTGTTCTAGGATGTTGCTTCCTCTCTGTCTCCTCCAAGCTTCTCATGTCAGTGATGGTAGTTGTGATGGTAGTGGTGGTGATGGCAATGTTGATGGTGATAGTGATGGTGATGATGGTAGTGGTTGTGGTGGTGGTGATGGTAGTATGGCAATGATGATGATTGTGGTGGCAATGGTAATGATGGTGATGATGGAGATGGGCATGGTAGTGATGGTGGTGATAGAGTAGATGGTGATGATGATGATGATGATGATGATACCTGGGCCAGGAAATAGTGAGGAAAAGGAGGTAAATCTTGTTTTTGTTTTGGTTTGTTTTTCAAGACAGGGTTTCTCTGTGTAGCTTTGCGCCTTTCCTGGAACTCACTTTGTAGCCCAGGCTGGCCACGAACTCACAGAGATCCGCCTGCCTCTGCCTCCGGAGTGCTGGGATTAAATGCGTGCGCCGCCGCCACCACCACTTGGCTAAAAGAGATAAATTTTAAAAAGTATGGAACCAGCTGGCCACAGAGCATCCTTATTACGGATGTAAGATGGAGGTGCCTCCTCAGGAATGTAAGAGCTCCTCTACACGCTTCTTTCCATCATCATGAAACTTTGCTGGTGCAGACAGTGCCTCCCTCACTGTACTCTGTGGAAAGGGACGGAGTGTTGTTTGTGAACCTGGAGCAGTTCAGCAGGGGGTCATCAGGTGTTGCATGAAAAATGTTCAGACTTGTGTGTCCACTGGCTTGGTCTTCGTTGGGCCAGGTTGTGATTTACTGAGAAGCCCTGTATCCTGGTACCATGCTGAGAGAGTCCTCTGCATTGGCTCAGGGAGTCCTCACAGCTCTGCTGGGACACGGGCCTTTAAAAACCCCATACAACATATAAGCACAGGATCCACTGCTTTAACCGTGGGTAAACATGCAGTTCTGAGGCATCCGTCCATTCTCAGTGTGGTCAGCCCATTTCCAGAACTCTTTCCAGACTAGGAGATGAAAGCTTGACACCCACCAAGCAACAGTTCCCCATTTCCACTCTCATTTGTCTTGGGGAGTCGCCAGCCTGCTCTCTGACTTCACAACTTGGTACACAAGGGAAGTGGAGTCTTAGAGTGTCTGTCTCCGCCCCCAACCCCAATCGGGCATGTGTCACTCAGCATCAGGTCTTCAGTGCTCACCTTTGCTGTAACGTGCATCAGAACTTCCTTCTCCAGGCTGGCAGGCATGCCATTGTGTACGTCCCTGTATTTTGTTGTCTATCACCCATCAGTGGACCCTGGGTCACCTCCTGGCTGTGGTACAGAGTGCTTCTCTGAGCAGGTGTCTCTTGGAGGCGTCGCTCATTAACCACACGAGTTCAAAGAGGCTCTGGAAGGATGGATGGCTTCCAGGACCCCACAGCAAGGACCTGGTAGTGAAGAGACGCCCACCTGTCTCCAGGACCCCAAAGGCAGGGCTCTTTCTGCCTCACCTGGCTCACTCCCTCTTGGCCTTCCTTCCCCGGTGGCCACCCCTGTAGCTAGGCTGCTTGTTGTGGGCACACCCACAGCCACCTGTGCCTCTGCCTCCCCCCACAGCTGTGTCCTGTGAAGCACAAGTCGGTGACTGGCGGACCACTCACTCGACAGGAGCCCACACAGCACCCCTTGTAGAAACCTCTGGGAAATGGGCCTGGGCTCCAGGGCAGGGCATCTTTCTTACCCATTGCTGGTCCCCGGTGCCCAGATAGTGTCTGCACAGGGTAGGTTCTCGGGATTGTCTGGTAAAGGGAGAACATGGTGTGGACAGGAACCTAGATCTGTCTACCCACGGGGGCTGAACCACACACAGAAACTCCCTCAACAAGCAGAGGCCCTGTCAGGTCCTCCTCTCCTACAGTCTGCGGAGAAGTTTGCAGAGGCTCTGGGCCCAGCAGCCAGGGTGTGGGGCGAGAGCCAGCTCTATCCCTGGTCAATGGCAAAGACCATGTCCTCTCTCCTTGCAGATCAGCTTTGTGCCGGCAGACTCGGACTTTGAAGGCATCTTGTCCCCAAAGACCCTGAGCCTGCTGGAGAACAGGCTTTCGGAGGTGAAGAGGTAAGTGCAGGGAGAATGGGCCCGCGGTCTAGCCTCCTGTCAAAGTGGGGAGGAGGGGAGCAAGGGAAGAGGTAAGGAGGGAGCGGACCAGGATAGCTGGGCTGGGCGTCTGTCTCTGTCTTATCCCGTCCAGCTTCCTCTTGGCCTCCTGTTTTCTGAGATATCACAGGTCATTTCAAACTCTCGGTGTTGTGCATCTTAACATCGTCATTCCCATTTTCTAGATGTAGACGCTGAGGCTCAGAGAAACACAAACTTCAGATCTCGTGGGGAGTCAGGGCTGGAGACAGGTCTGGATCCTGGCCTGGCGTGGCCATGGAGGTGCCAAGGCCTGTTTCTGGCCTGGGGCCTAGCCAAGAACCCTTTGGCTTTGGTTAGTCCCCTGAGCAGTGACTCCAAAGGCCGGCCACAGGCCCTGGAGCTATGGGGGCTCAGAGCCACTCCGCTTTGCTTGGGGGAGTTTGTAATGCTGGCATTTTCCATTCCTGACACCACAGGGTGAAGCGCCCCAGTGGGAAACAGTGGACACACCCCTGCGGGTGGGGCCACCCCCCAAAAAAACATCTCAGGGCCAACAACTTAGCTCAGGCCCTTCCTTTGTCTTGTCACCCCCAGTCATGTGACCTTAGACAAGGGTCTAGTCCCTGAAACACAGTGCCGGGAGCAGATCACTGTGGCCCTGATCCACCAAGCAGGGGCTGACTCACTCTCTGTATAAAGTCAGTTTGCTGTGCCTCAGTTCCCTCGCAGCACCTCCTGGAATGACAGGGGGTGTAGACAATCACTCCCCAGCCTGGCGGGCAAGGAGACTCCAAGCAGCTGCGCTTTGCTCTACTAAGCGTCAAAGCTGTGACTGCTGCAATGAGGTGTGCTCCAGCAAGCCTCCATGCTGAGCCCTCTCCATGCATCCATCCATCCATCCATCCATCCATCCATCCATCCATCCATCCACCCATCCATCCATCCATCATCTATCCATCCATCCATCCGTCTATCCATCCATCCATCCATCCATCCATCCATCCATCCATCCACCCATCCATCCATCCATCCACCCATCCATCCATCCATCATCTATCCA